AAGTCATTAAATCACCATTTAACTAATAAGAGATAAAAGATGCTACCCAATGAGCTCAATTTTTCTCTGGAAATTGCCTATTCAAAATTTGATAGGAATTTACATGTTTAAAATATGCTAGTATGGAAACAGCAAAATGATTATATTTTTACTTTTGAGAAAAAAGGGGCAAAAGTAACTAAAATTAAATGCAATTGAAAGCTTCATTATTCAGTCAGTAAAAAGAATGTATTATATGTAGATTAACATATAAGAAAGAATTCACTGCTAATATGTCATTAACTACTGAAAGTATGCCTTTAAAGTTTAATTTCAAAAAATCTGTAATGAGCAAAATATACTGATAATAAGAAGAATTACAACTTTTCTCTGAATGGAGGAGAGAACTTCCACTTGCTTATGGCCCTGTCTAAATATGGACAGAGTTTGTAGACTCAAAAGGTTTCCATAGCCTTGGCAGCTCATGATGAGAGCCTTGAGTGATCACTGCCATCATAAATAAGAGTGTCAATTATTAAATCAACAATAGGAGTCACTGTACACTTACTCCTCATGTAGGATCTTTGTCCTTAGTGTGCTGTACATGGAGATTTAATGGTATAACTAGTACTCAAACAGTACTTTACACTTTGTGTTTCTGTGTGGGTGCAAACTGTTGAAATCTTTACTTAGTATATACTAAATTAATCTTCTGTATATAAAGATAATTGAAAATGAATCTTGATGAAGAATGGGATGGGAGAGGGAGTAGGAGGTAGGATGGGAGTGGGGGGTGGGAGGGCAAGTATGGGGAGAAGAACCACTATATTCCTAATGCTATACCTATGAAATTTGTATTTATTAAATAAAAGCTAAAAAAAGGTACAAGCAACCAAGAATAAAACAATCTTATAAATTCTTAATCTACTTGCCTTTTTCTTTACTAGAAAACTTTAATCTTCATAGTATCACACCAAGACTACTAGTCCCCTCACTTTCCTTTCTTCAACAACATTCATACTCTCATTTCCTGTTCAAAACACTTACTAGTTCTCCATGAAATAAACTTGAAACTTGCTGGGCTAGCAAGTATTCATCACCAGTGCTTTGTCAACAGTCTGTCTCCAAATATCACTCCTAGTACTCATTCAAGTAGATATACCCTCCCACGCACAGTAACAAGGTGTTCCTGTCTTTCCTCATAATCTGTCTTCCTTAAGTCCTCTCTCCACCCCTCAGTATCCTCATACCTGAATCCTACCTTCAAGGCCAGGCCAGCCACAAAACCTTAGTCAGCCAGGCCAGAGTGCCCACCACAGATACCTCCTATACAGCATTTATTCTTCTGTATATTTTATCACTTCAGCTACACTGCAAGCCTTAAGAACATTTCATATACCACTTATTTCTATACTAAGACCTTTTATCCAGTAACTACATGGCCAGATTAGCATCTTTCCACTGTAGGTACTCAGTGAGTGTGGGGAGCAGCTCGGACTAGACTAAGTTACTGGAATTAAGACTTATTCTATGCATCTGCTCTCCTCTGTGGGGAGCAGCTCGGACTAGACTAAGTTACTGGAATTAAGACTTATTCTATGCATCTGCTCTCCCACAATATGGCGCTGGGAGAGAAGTAAACAGCTTCCGCACAGCTGCCTCCAGTTCAACTAATAAACTGTAGGACTTGCTCCTGATTGGAGGAGAGCAGCGTACTCGGCGTGTGGGCAGCCGAGTTGGGATTGGCGGAGGAGGACTATAAAGGAGGAGAGAAACGGCATGCACCGGAAACATCTATGGGGAACATCTAAGGGGAACATCTATCCGAATAACACCTGTGCAGCCCCCGAGAGAGCCGGCCGGCGGTGTGCCGCTCCCCTGCGGAAGTGGGGAATGTGGCCAGGGGGAACTGCCCTTCCACGGAGGTGGAAGGGATAGTAGCCAACCCGGGAAGAACCAGCAGCAAACCCGGGGAGGGCCGAGCAGACGAAAGAACAGCGCAGGGTCCTGTGTTGCTCCTCCACGAAGAGGGGGAGCGACATAATGGTGCCGTGACTCGGATATGAAGCCTAGGCAGGGTTTAGTGTCGTTCCTCCATGAAGAGGGGGAGCGACAAGTGAGCATCTGCTAAGTCAAAAGAACTTAATAGCAATGAAGCATGAAAATTAAAAGTTAATTATTTCTTAATAATTGATTTTGACCAAAAAAGATTGAGAAGCTAATTTTTCCCTTAAAATTTCTGAGGATTTAGAATCCAAGATGGATGAGTTTGTTAGTGATGTTCTTCCTGCAAATACAATGAAGAAAATACCATAGATATAATGCTTTTCCAATGTGCCCCCAGAGGACACTCTCACCCATGATAATTTATTGCAAATACCTGTACATTGTCTGTCTATGTTAGTGGCTTCTCAAAACCAAGTGAATATGTTCCATTTCTGAGTTCTATGCATACATAGCCAACATAGTAAAAACTCAGTCAACAACTGATTTAGCACCATGATTATCTAAAGTAAACACAATTAAAGAAAACCTTTATGAGGCAAGTAAGTGTTAAGTAAACTTAATTTATGACTGTGTGATTTCAAATAGAACATATGGTTAAAATTCTAGGGACCACATTTAAACAAGTATTAGTTGAACAATAAGTACACAAACTTCAAGAGAAATCCTATGTGGATATACACGTATACATGATTTTTATATATCATAGACATTTCTTGAAGAAAGCACAATTTTGGAGAGGAAAATGAAATAAAGACAGATTTTTCTACTGTCCACTCATCTATATTGCTTTTTATTTTTTTTTTCAACTATGGATCACATATAACTTCCAAATTAACTCCTCCACACTGACACATATACCAGGAGTAGTGTAATGACATTTAAAACATTTTTTAAAAAAAGAATAGTCTACTATTTTTTTTTAATTTTTTTTTTTTTTTTGACAGGCAGAGTGGACAGTGAGAGAGAGAGACAGAGAGAAAGGTCTTCCTTTGCCGTTGGTTCACCCTCCAATGGCTGCCGTGGCCGGCGTGCTGCGGCCGGCGCACCACGCTGATCCGATGGCAGGAGCCAGGTGCTTCTCCTGGTCTCCCATGGGGTGCAGGGCCCAAGCACTTGGGCCATCCTCCACTGCACTCCCTGGCCACAGCAGAGAGCTGGCCTGGAAGAGGGGCAACCGGGACAGAATCCGGCGCCCCGACCGGGACTAGAACCTGGTGTGCCGGCGCCGCAAGGTGGAGGATTAGCCTAGTGAGCCGCAGCGCCGGCCCAAGAATAGTCTACTATTAGAGTCACCTAATAGATATTTTATATGTTAATAATAGATCATAAAAGAATATGGAGACTAAACAATGTAGTTTGAGATCTAACAGAGAAATTTTGTTTTTGTGGCTCAATTTTTGTATAACATTGGAAAAATTCCTCCTTAACTTAGTATTGCCTGATTTAATTTCTTTTGTCATCTATGTGTCCATCACTCCTACATATTTAAGGAGATAACTACCCAAAGGCATATTACATCAGCATTCCAAACAGTAAAAACAGCCAGTAAAATATTTTCCCAAGACATAAGAAAAGCTTTTCATTAGATGTTCAATAAAAAGAAGCATTTCCAACTCCACAGTGACCCTGACTCAGTCCTCAAAACAAACATTGAAGACATCTAGGCATCAAACATCTATTCTCCTCCCTTTTGTCACAGTGAAAAACAATTTGGTTTTCTATGGAAGATTTCAAAAGATGTGACCTCAGTCTCTTGGAGGCAGAGGCCATGTCCTTCTTTTTATAAAAACCCACTAAAAAAATAAGAACACACATAAAGAAAGCCTAAAATAATCTATCAAATAGTAGCTTGTAAGTGATCACTGACTCAATGAACAACATTCTTCAAACAGTATACACTTGTAAACCAACAGAATAGCGCAGCTCAGTGGTACTTTGGAAATTTACATTCATTAAATAAAAGTTTTAAAAAAATACTTAAAAAAAGTAATTAAATAAGGGTTTGTGTATCCACTGGATTGCCATTTTTACTTTAAAAATACATTTAAAATATAAATGATAAATACCAATTTGATCAAAATAAATGACTCAGAAGCGAGGTGGGTTTGATACTAGCCCAGGAATCATCTCTTTATTTGCAGCAGTGAACTGCAAGAATTTTAACATGGTGCTTTTCAAAGAAAAAGGGGTATGAGGGGAAGGGGCCACAGGATATGGGAGTGAGGTCCCCAGTCCTACTCTACTTCTTTCAGGCCAGGAGAGTCATGCACACACCTTGACACATTCTAGCCTCTATATCTTAGTGACTGGTCAGAAAAAATACATATTTTCCTTTCAAGAATCAGGATTCCTCTTTATACTTTGCAGTATTTCTAGAATACCTCCTTTTGATCTCATATCTCACCACCTTGCCAACATGAGAAGAGAGTTGCTTTTCCTACCATTTCTGCCATCTGGAAAGCCCTCTCTACTTCATTCCTCCTCATAAATAATCAATCAGTGCTGAAAACTCATGGTGAAATGCATCCTTGATGTTTTGCCTCTACCCGTAATTTTCTTCTTCTTCAGTTGCTGTCCTAAGATTCAATTGTCCTGAATCAAGCTCTCATTTACCATACATTGTTATCTGACCACATCCATCATTCTAGCTAATTAATAATTCCTGGAGAAAAGAGAATTTAGGATTAACCTCCTTGGGGGAAAAAAGATACTTATGGTTCCAACAGCAACCCTCTACTTGGGGGAAAAAAAGATACTTATGGTTCCAACAGCAACTACAATCTCATGACCTTTACATAAACTCAGTAAACCATAATATCATTTCAAATTTTTATTAGCACAGTTATTTTAAAGGAAGAGGAGGAGAAAGAAGATAGTTTTAGAAAACCTTCCAGATGTATAGAAATTTTAAATTTATTAAAAGCAGATAATTACTTCCAGTTTTAATACTTCCTCAACCTTCAGATCAAACCAAGTCCCAAATAAAAAAAGTTGCAAAACATAAGTGCACTTACCTGAGGGTAGGGGGAAGTCCTCGATTTTGACTTTGAGCTGGAGAGCCGGGATTTGGCCCCCTTCCTGTTATCAGGCATGGTGGGTGTGGAGCTGCTGGCATAGGAGAAGGCTGGTTTGGAGGCTGAGATCTGATCCAGGGATAGCTGCAGCCCTTTGTATTCCGTATCTCTGCAGGATAGGATGACAAAACCCTTAATCAGCCACCACAGAAAAATGGATCCATGCATCCTCTCATCAGGTATGATAGTAACCCAGATTTGAAAGGGAAGCAAGCAAAAGTTAGACATATAACTGGTTTCAGTTATTCCACAATTGCCTAATTTTTAATTAATTTGTGTGAATGCAGCTGCCACAGTTATCAAATTATATGATACACTCATGTCTTTATTTAAAATGTATTTTAATTACCTTTATTGTGAGTAGAAAAATGAACCCATAATTCAATCATTCAATTTCTCAGTTTTTATGTCCTCACTGGTGAGATATGAATTACAAAACTTATTCAAAAGGGGTCCTACAGGGGGTGAATCCAGCAGACAGTGGCCAGCTGATGCTGACCTCTATTAAGCAGGATGTCTTCTATCAGCTGATCTGAGATCAGTCATTCTGGTAAACTTTCTAAACATTCTTATAGCTGTCTAACTAGTGAAACAAGACTTACAAATAGTTAAAAATCCCTTTCAACAGGCTAATTCTATCCCCTTAGGGGAGATAGATTTAACCACCAGTTCTTTCCATTCCTCCCTTCATTCAATAAACATTTATTGAACTCCTAATATATACCACATTTTATGCTATGTGGAGATGTGAGAATATATAAGACATCCATAACCCCTGCTCTTGCACAGAGTATTTTTGGGAGTAAATAAACAATAAACAAATAAAGGAACATAGCAATTGCATTCAGTGATGTGAAAGGGATAACAAGTCCATCTTTGGAAGTTCATTTCAAAGAATTTACTTGAGATATTTAGGGGCTAAGATAAGAGTCTTGACTCTGCTCACAGATATAATCTCTGCCCACTTCCAGGCAGTTATAAATCTTGTTTGACTCTGTTTTCATGAGAGGACATCAACCCTTCCCGGACAGTCAAAAAAAAATGTTTCAGAGTCTTCTTTATGAAGACTCAAGGAAGAATTTTCTCTAAGGTTCCAAAACTAGCTGAGCTGCTCTTGGGTAACTGATTTATTTTTATCTCATGAACACTAAATCATATAACTCATCATGTTACCTTTGTATGAGAAGTCAAAAAGCTCTGAGCCTTGAGTCTGATTTGTAATCATCTCTAGCAAATGTACCAAGCCCTCATGACAGATGTTTTTATAAAACTAACTTCACTGACTTTTATTTTTCCTTTCTTGAAATTCTCAAATAGCTTCTATTTTTTGGAATAATTTACATACATTTTTGAAATTCTTTGGATTAAGACCAGTATGTAGAATTTAACAAATTAATGAAATTATATGTATGTATATATGTATGGTGTGTCTATGTGATTGGCACATTCCATGAATCAACACATATTCATTTATCTTCTTATACTTTCACCCTTTTTGTTTTTCATTACAAGAATATGCAAAAGGAAAAGTATAATTCAGTATTTGGAAACTACAAAAAGAGTAGACTTTAAGTGTTCTTACTATAAAAATAATGATAAATATGTAAGGTAATACAAATGCTAAGAAGTTTGATTTAGCCATTTCCCAATGTATATATACATCAAAATATCATGTTGTATACCATAAACATATCAATTTTCACTTAACAAATTAAAAAAGGAAAACAATATAATTCAGGAAAGAAGTCCCTCAACTGAGTAAGAGAAATAACCAGCTAAAATGGTCCAAATAATGTCACTTTCACAAGCTATCCTGCAGTGATATATATCCCCAAATGACAATGACTTTTCATAAAATAGTTGGCTCCCTTTATCCACAGGTTTCACATCAGCAAATTCAACCAATTACAGATCAAAAATACTCGAAAATACTCGGGAAAAGATATTGCACCTCCACTTAACACATACAGCCTTTTTCCTTTCATTCTTCCCTAAACAATTCAAGAACTTTTACATACCATTTAAAATGTATTGGTTATTTTTTATTTTATTTAATTTATACAATTAATAATTAATACAATTAATAATTAATAATTTAAATTACCTAGAGGTAGTTCAAAGTATACAGGAGGATGTGCACCGAGTAAATATATATCATTTAGATAAGGGACTTCAGCATCCTCAGATTTTGATACCCACAGTGGGTCCTGAGGGATGACTATAATCTATTCACTCAATGAAATTTTTTTTAAAATCTTCTTGAGTTAAGAACTTAGCAGCTGGACATGCAATTTGTTTTTCAGCTGGTTGCATCGCTAGTCTCTTCACATCTCTAGCAGCTCCTTCTAATGACAATATAGTCTTAAACACTTCTCAGTCAGAAATTCAGTGTCCTCTAGAATGTGGCTCCCATTAATTTTTGTGACAGTATCTCAAAATTGTCCATCAGCCCCTTACTTCATCCAAATAGTTCTCCCCAAACAGAACTCACTTTGTTGACTCTCTCTCCTCCCTCAAAATAGGTCTATAAAATTTTTTTTGTAAAGAAACATCTTAAAGCCCACTCACAGCTCTATGAAGCCCTTCTTGACTACTCAAGTCATTCATTCATACATTCAATTCCTATTTGTTGAGTGTCTCCTCTGTGTGAGGCCTTGTTCTAGGGGCTGCAGAAAACATCAATGAACAGAAGGATCAAGTCTTTACCTCCCATAAAGGTACCAGGGCCAGTTACTGAGAGTAGTTGGGAGGGGTCCAGAAACTATCTTTTTTTCTCCTCTAATCTTTTTCAAGTGACTATGTCTTGTCCTAGTGGGTTCTAAGTTTTTAGAGAATGAGAGTCAAGATGATGTTATTATATTCCCAAGGCTATTTGCATGGTATTCATGTAATATAACAAGGATGCAATTAAAGTATTATTTTCCCCAAAGAGTAAAAATAACTTGCAACCCAATCGCCTTTCTCTATTGGAAAAGACTTTAATGGTCTGTGAGTCCTCTGATCCTCTAGCCCTTAGACAACAGTGAGTAGCCAAGCACTGTATCCTGACAGGTGGGCAAGCCTCTACCCTTGGGCATCTCCTGTGTCAAATACACTTTTTCTCACTATACAGCAGAGCATTCATTCAATCACTGCCTGGCAGAACCTAGTCTAAGAATCAAAATCATGCACTCCTGAAAATGCGGCTGAACAATTTTGTAATCCCATTCCTAATGAAACATTTCAGCACAGGGATTTCATGGCTATAAGCAGGGAGTAAACAAGGACTCATTTTTCTCTTGCACACTTTCAGTTCCCTGATGGTTTACAATCCAACTATTGAAAAAGTCTTACCAAAAACTTGACAAAGCTTCCAATGACAAAAATACTCCAAATTAAACAGGCTAAAGTAAAATTTTAAAAGCAATAAATGGCTTAAAATTCTACAAATTTACACAAAGTCATAATAAATATAAGAAGAGTTCTACAAATACTCTTGATAAATTAATAAAAATAATGATGCTGTTGTATGTAACAAAAAAATGTAGGCAGATATTTGGCTTAGTTGTTAAAATGCTGCTTAGGGCACCCACACCCATATCAGAGTCCCCAAGTTTAAGTTCCAATTCCATTCCTCATTCCAGCTTCCTGCTAATGCAGCCCCTCAGAGGCAGCAGGCAATGTCTCAAGTATTTAGGTCCCAACCACACGGGAGACCCAGACTGAGTTCTTGATGCTCGGCTTCAACTTTGCCTTACCTTGGCTATTGCAAGGATTTCAGGAGAGAACCAAGGAACATGAGATCTCTGTCTGCCTTTCAAATGAATAAAATAAGTAAATATATATATATATATATAGGATATATATTTATATAATTCACCAGAAAATAGTTTAAAGATTTTGTTTATTTTGAAAGGTAGAGTTACAGAGAGAGAGAGGAAGAGACAAAGATTTTCCATTCGCTGGTTCACTCCCCGATAGCCACAATGGCCAGAGCTGGGCCAATCCAAAGCCAGGAGCCAGAAGCTTCTTCCAGATTTCCCACATGGGTGCAGGAATCCATGCACTGGGGCCAAGTTCTACTGCTTTCCCATCCCATAGCAGAAAGCTGGATTGGAGGAGGAGCAGCGTGACTGAAACCAGCGCCCATATGGGGTGCCAGTGCTTCAGGCAGAGGCTTAGCCCACAGTGCCACAGCACTGGCTCCAATTCATCAAAATTTAATAGAAGACCATGAAGTCTAGTAAACCAGAGTTTAAGACAATCTCTATTCTTCATACTCTTTGTTGAACTCTTTTACCCAGTATAGGATTAACTATACAATCATTAAGTAAACTGAAAATAGATCTTTGTAAAAATTAAGACTGTGTGAGAGGGAGAAGGAAGGGTTGGAGCGTGGGTGGGAGGGAAGGTGTGGGGGGGGGGGAATGTCACTATGTTCCTAAATCTGTATATATGAAATATATGAAAGTTTTATAATTTAAATAAAATTTAAAAAAGAAAATCTCTGCCTCTTACTGTGTAACAGCACATCTGGGCCTCATATTATATGAGAAACTGACAGCACAGTACCCAGAACATAGTAAATGCTCAAAATATAATATTATTTCTTAACTTCCAAACTCTGCGGCACTTGTACAGTCTGCTTATGCTGTTACAAGTCATACTTACACTGTATATCTTTGTACCCTTTTAATTTTCTGTTACTTTTTAGTCTCTAAACTCTTATTGCAGTATGGCCAAAATACTTATTAAAGTAAGTTCCTTATTAAATCAGCAAATGAGGGTCTTACAGCAACACAGTCACTCTGAAAGGAAATCAGTCCTCTTGTTTCTTAGCTCAAAATTCGAATAGCTCAAAAGATACGTTAGGATGAAAAGCACAATAAAAATGCCCACTTAAAGACATTTCAAGTACGGTTGATGTGCTGCCAAGAGCAGCTCTGAATGGCAGATTCACTAGGAACAAAGCATTTGTTTTACTTTTAGAATTCTATTAAGTTGAGCATTTCATTTGTATAGTTTAAAGGGCTGGATGCTGATGGGAATCACATTATGAGTTCCATTTCCCTCCTCCAAACTCAGACACAAAGAAGAATCTGGCCCTGCTTCTCTCTTTCCATGGGTGAA